AGCTTTCATAGATATATTATAGAGGTATTATAGAAGATATGGAAAATTCTGATTAACAATCTAAATCTGATTATGGGCACTTTATCTCCCTGCTTGTAGTTGATACCCACCCTGTCCATCCATTGCTATGGCATTGTCGGTCATCTTGTTTTTTCATATTTACCATGCTAGGATTTTAGTATGTCATTTTGGGAACTTCAAAGGAAAGCACTGTGGTAAAATAAAAACTGTTGCATTACTTTGAGGCTTGGCCCTTAAATGGCTCAGATTGCCTAGACTAATAGAAGAAATAGATGCAAGAATCTGCATCTGCCTTTTCGAAAAAGTTCGAAATATGAAGGGAGTAAATTGATGCAAGAATACAAAGAGAATAACGAATGATTACTTTTGTTATATGTTTATTTAACAAACAAAATTAGACAAACAATCAAAATATAGTTGCACAATAATATATACAACACAAGAGTATAATCCAGATGTTAGACTTCACTGGGTATTGTTACCAGGAAATTTGAAGTTGCACAATAAATTATTTGGCATTATCTTTCTTATGTGATACATACAACACGAGTCAAACAACACAAGGTAGAGAGACGAAATATTGTCAAATGGCTGTATAAATCTTTCACACACAAAAAACGATGCGTCAATACAAAAATTAGACAAATAATCAAAATATAATCGCAGAATCATATATATATATATATATATATATATATATATAAAATATATATATAAATATATATATATATATATATATCACTCAATGACATACTGTTTTGATGAACAAGCCAAAACAAATTCAACCTGCACTCAAAATTAACAATGATAAAAATATTCCATATGAAGTATTAACCCTGTATACAGCGCATAATCAAATCAAATTCAACCTGCACTCAAAATTAACAATGATAAGAATATTCCATATGAAGTATTAACCCTATATACAGCGCATAATCAAATCAAATTCAACCTGCACTCAAAATTAACAATGATAAGAATATTCCATATGAAGTATTAACCCTATATACAGCGCATAATCAATCAATATTTTTCAACAAATGATTTTTTGGAGTGACGGCATTTTTTGACTATTTCAATTTTAGAGTTCAGCGTTTTCTGTCTTTCCGCAGTAATGAAATATGTATACTTCTGATATGTGATAGATACGAAACGAATCGCCGAGATGTAAGTGAAATATTATTAGTGAATGATCGAGACGAAGACAGACAATACACTTGTAGTATTTCATATTTGACATGGTTGATCACAAGTGTATAGGCTACATTCTCGTGCTGTCACTTTGGTTTAAATGGTTTTGTTAAAGAGTCATGAGTCTGTAATTACAGATTTTCATTTTACACAAGCATTTTGCATTATCAACGATAAAATCTGACCTAAGGTTTTGGAGTACTTAATGGTGCTATTAAGTTGGCGTTTCAACGTTGTTGGCTGGTGCTCAGGTAAATGAGAAATTTGAGAAATCGATATTTTAATTTTTACCCCAAAATCGCAATAGGACGTCACCCGTAAGATGTCATGTATGTAAATGTTAATTAATTTAGCTACTGAATACTGGCGGCTTATCTGTTATCCAAAATAATGTATGTAAGGTACTGTATAAGAAGTGCTTATAGCATTTGTTTTTTATCGAAGTGAGCCATATATTCTTCTACATTGTACTGCCTGCTTGGACAGTGAACTGTTCAAGCTGTAACCATGTCACTTATTGAAACTTGGGCAATATCCATTGCGTCGTTTTCATCGAAGTGAGACAAATAATCTTCCACTGTGTGCTTGTACTGTGAATTGTTCCAACGAAGTGACCCACCTAGCGCGTTTTCGATTGTGATGCAAATTCTCTTCAGTGCCACCAGGGTTTCCTCTTGCCTAAGATAAGATTCGTTTAATTTGGATCGAAGAACATCAATGTTTTTTCTCATCTTTTCGGTTGAGGGTGGAACCATTTCAGCAAGATTATCGCATTGGTGGTGATTGACACTCGTGATGTTATCGGCTGACCGGGGACGTTTATTTGTGTCATTCCCACATTGATAAGGAGATCCATGGAATTTGTTTGGAGATGGCTTTGGTATTTTTGCTGGAGAGCTCGAAGTGGCCCCAAGGCTGCAAAAGTATGGTAAAGATAAGCCTTCTCCTTGGAGATACAATTTATTTAATGTAGTGATAATGGCTGTTCAGAATCCTATGTTGTGAAAGCCTAAATAAGCCAACGCAAAAGGCCTAGCAGTGACATACATGGCACACGGCTCGGCCAACGTCTAATCATCGATGCATGAATATTATCATCTCTTAAGTCCGGTATTTTATTTATTTTCTACTTGAATGTGCATACATTGATAAAAAAAGGATCGAGCATAAGTCCTGTTTTGTCGTGTAGGCTACTGGAGAAAATGAAAAATATAATAAGATCTTTTTAGAAAAATACATACCTTGGTACATGTTTTATTTCACTCAGCGCCATGTCACCAGTCGAACTTGGAGACCATAAAATAGATTAATGCATACAGTTACACATAAACTTTAGCTGATCAATAGGTGACCTAAGCTACAGTGTAGGACCTGAGCCGGCTATCCCTACATAAAACCTTGTACATTATCTGACGAAAACAACCATGTCTAAGATAGGATCAGCATGCACCACAGTGGCTGTCAATCGAATCAAAGCTTAGTAACCAATCAGACGCCACCCTCGTTCTCATCTTTGACACAATGTTTCCATTCCTCAATCGACCGACTCCTGAGCCTTGTACTCGCTCATTGCTTACCCCCCACCTCAGGCCTACCCAACTACCAGACTCGGCACCTAAGGATCTTGAATTAACCGGTATATCGGACCACACTACCCGTTTTCAAGGTGTGTGTCAGATCGCATTTCGGAGTATCATACCCCAGAACAAATTTTGTGGGACGACTGCGGGCTCATCCACACTCGGCTGAACAACCTGAAACTGTACTCTTACTGTAGAGTACTCTATTCCATTGTCTCTATGGGGGTATATGGGGACTTTACGACATTCGGTTTGAATGTTTTAGCCACTTTTGAGGGCTTTTTTTGCATTGTATTAGATTAATGTGGCAGTCTAAGGTTCATCTAGGTGGCTTTCAAACGTATGCACCGGTTTTAAAACCATATAGCGATTAAATACGACAATCGTTTACTATCCAATCAAGGTGACAGCCGAGCGTGGGATCATTCTGTCGGTGTTCTGACTGATACTCCGAAATGCGATCTGACACACACCTTGAAAACGGGTAGTGTGGTCCGATATACCGGTTAATTCAGGATCCTTAGGTGCCGAGTCTGGTAGTTGAGTAGGCCTGCACCTGGTACTTCTGTTGTATTGGAGATCTCTTAAACAGCTTGGAACTAAACGGTGATACCTACCCAACTTGACACATGCGAGACACTTGTGATCAAGCCTGAAACAGATAAGCTGAGATGGCCTCTGTCATTGACAATGACGAGTACCACTGATGAAAAAATCACAAGATAAAGGCGAAAATCTTTTTTTAGATTTTTTTCCCCTTTGAACTTGTAGTTGATGAAAGTCGCTTGTTGACCGATAATCGCTTTTAACACCCAGGCTACCCTTCCTTCCCCCGACAGGCAGTACCACTTCAACGCCATGTCTACCTCAATTAACGATTAGAGGCGCATCTTTCGTAATGGAACAAATATTTGTCTGTGATCTTTATAACCAGAAGGAAGCTAGTAGTATCAATGAGGCCAGGTACAATATTTTTTGCTTGTCAACCACAAGTGAGCACAGTATGCCTCCTACCCAAGACGCTCTGAATTTGCATATTGAGAGATCAGATTATCAAACAAAAATCCACAGATCTGCTACTGCTACAAAGCAGTTGGTTGAAGCACCACATCCCAATGGACATGGGTGAGAAATCAAAAACAATGGACTTGAAAGTTAGTGGATGACAGGACCTAGCCCCTGAAAGTGTTTTGCTATCCATTAGTTGCAAGTGTAAAGCTTCTACAATTTGATTCCAAAAAGGTGTTCAGGTGATGTATATTAAAATTGTCGTGCATCGATGTCTATTGTTGCAAAAAATTGCACAAATGAAACTCAAAGGTTTGCTAGTGGATCATATGATGAGGATGGCTGTGACTAATGTTTGTAAATAGTATTGATAAGTAACACAGAAAGTTATATTTTCACAGGTAAAACAATCAAGTTGAGAAATTGTTATAGTGTATGTAATATTAGTATTTTCATTCTTTATATAAAAATTATTATTTGCTGAAGGGCAAAAATATCATGTTTTTATGGGAAGTGATGTTTTTGACCCAATACCTTAGAGGTAGGTCTAAACGTAAAAGATATGAAAGTCTTGCTCACTGTGAGCTGTAATTTCTTTTAATGTGTTGCTACTAGACAATGGTGCAATTAATAACAATAAACAAACTTCTTTAAGTTAAACCTCCTTAGTTTGATATATACTTGCTATAAAATACAGCCCTAATGTAGCAGGAATAATTATAAAATTAACTGATTTTGTAATCGTAAGGGGCAATCCCCAAATACAGGTATTTGAAACATACATGTACCTCCACACTTTCCTGTAATGAAAGAAATATTGGTCATACGATTCACAGTTCAAACGTCTGATTGGTTACTGGCGATGAAGCAATCAGTTCCAGAAGGGAGCCCAATACACACCCTATAATTAATACACATTCTATAAATTCGGTCACAGTTATATACTTTATTAGGGATATAACAGCTTTTCCGAATTTTGAAAATAAGGTTTGAAATAGAGCGTTATATATCTCGCTAGATGAATGATGGCGGGTTCATTCTAAAGTATAGTGCATTCACGTTTAAAGCCGAGACAATTGCACCTGCGTTTACATTACTTTTTCCACACCGTGTATTTAATCTCTAGGGGTGACTGTTTACATAAGGTGTCGTATAAAAGCATGCGGTACTTGTACAACGAATTTGTTCTCAGCATGCATGGATTGGGCAGTGCAGCTACTGTAACATAAGTTCTGAAATAGACGTCGCTAAGATCAGTAGATATGGCATCCTGCAAAAACGATCTTTTTTACCCAGTGTTACCTCCCAACCAGAATGCTGTTTGTAACAGCAAGATGACCGAAGAAGGAAATGAAGGGGTTGCCAAATTCATTTTAACGAATGATGACTCTGATCAATCATTGACACGAATTGAAAAGGATTTTCATCTGAAGAAAATAACTATCGCAACTCATTTTGCTTCTTCTCTTGACGATCTTAAATCAACCATTGAGTCATATATTGAGCAGCATAAGGCGTGTCTGGTGGATGGTGTAAATGAGTACGAGATCAAGCTGGTATTGAAGCACGAATGGGAGGAAATGATCAACAAGCTACAATTGGAAGATGGTGATGACATCGACCTTCGTCTGTATCCTTTGTAGTTATTTCCATAAGAAACCATATTTTGAAAATTAGTCAAATGTTTGAAACACTTACTTATTGCCGTTGTAATATGGAATCGTTAACAAAATTTGTCAAAATTGGTGAAAAGAATGAAGTCCCATGTAGCCGAATTTCAAGACAAAGCCTATTACAACATTTTGGTGCAGCTTTATTGCACCCTTTTAGGGACTACACATCTAAATAATTATACTCGCAAAATGCATTCAATATCACATCTCTTCATACATTGTAAAACAGGAGACCATATCTGGTTTTCACCAATCATTTTCCTTAACTTCCTTTTAAGATACCATATAGAAAAAAAAAGCCACAACTTCTTCATGCTGGCAAAAAATGTCGGTTTTTTAAAAAATAAGGCGAACAGAAATCAATCGACTCCACCATTTGCTGTATTTTTACAGCATTCTGTCATGCCCAAAGTAGAAATTTACGCTTACATCTATTTTAAAACGTGGGCCAGCTTCCAAACATACTGCGAAGAACACGATCATGCGGTACGCGGCCACATCTTTAACTGTCTGGTGGCTTTATCCAACGGAGGTCGCAGTTATGTAGACAATGATGGCCATTCAAATGATCTGACTGATGGTTCCAGTTGGGTTGTTAAAAATAATGACGGATTTGGCTCTGACGATTTGGAATTTGAAAGTGGATTTAAAAAAATTAGTTCAGAGGCTTGCCATATTTGCATAGGGGGTACGAAGTCTGATTACCGCCTCTTCTTTTGGAACCAGATGTATCATAGCAAAACTGAAAATAGAACAATTACGGTTTATTTGATAGATAGCATTGGCCATCACACGGAGAAAAAATTAGTTAAGAAAAGGGGAGACAGACATAGCAAAGAAAGTCAAAGTAGTAAATGTACAGCTGATCCCCAGATAGTAGAAAGGGACATTAAGAAAATCAAATTAGTGTTTGTGCAACAGTCTGATAAAAATCCAAACAAGCCTAAGCTGAAGCCTTTGGAAAGTGACTAGGCATATATATATATATATATATATATATATATATATATATATATATATATATATATATATATATATATATAAGGGGTAATTATGATTAAGCCAACGAAGTGTCATAGAAAATCCAGGTGTAAGCTGATTTTATTTCTTATATTCACACAATTGTTATTATTATTATTATTATTATTATTATTATTATTATTGATATGTCACAGTGTAATTTTAGCATGGTAAGCAGCTACTACGGCTTATATTAACTATAATACTTTGTGAAGGGCTATTGTGCACTGTTGCAAATAAACATACTTATTTTCAAAAAAGAATGATTGGATAAATGTTGTTATTGTTGATTGATTGATTTGTGATGCTGATAAGTGTATTAAACTACATCTTAGGGGAGACCGGAGCTGGGGGGGGGGGGGGGGGGGGGCTTTTACCGGGGTCCAACTAACCCTGGTCTCCCTTACTTTTAAGTTTCTAATTAAATTTTAAGTTTCTAATTAAAATTCGTTTTCCGTATAGTACACGTGGTAGTCAATAAAATACGTGTTTAAAATAGGTACAGGTTTTTAAAAAACAAAAATAAAATAAACATATGAACAAAATTTATAGACAATGGATTAGTTAAAAAGTACGCTAAACGTAGTGATGAATTTGACTTTTTTCAGAATCGAATTTCAGTAAAAAATACCCCGGGATATCGTGTCAGAGGCAGAATAAATAAATAGATAAATAAATAAATAAATAAATAAATAAATACAGATACTTTCGAACTAATTTCAAACAAAAAAGAACGGCAAATATATCACGCATGGTATGCGTTTCAATCATCTGTTGATTATTCCTTAAATAAGTGTTGGAACTGTGTTATGGACTTGGCATGGACGATGTCGGTTGAAGGCCCACCAAGTGTTGCATTGTGTTAGAGAGGCCTAAAAACACAATCTTGCAACCCAGCAATATACGTGTGAGTGTGTGCTTATGTGTGCGTTTGTTAGAGGGAGGGGGGCGACCTCCCGTGATCCCGTCGTCTGCGCCAATAGTTCCAGAGACGGTTTAAAAAGCAAGCGATGAATGTGCTGGCCCTAGAATGCTCTAGTTTCACAGTCTAATGCCCCCCTTGTAAACCTCAATTTGTCAATACGTGTACGTTATCCTTAGCTAAATCAATAACGAATAAAAAATTAATCTAAAATCGTGTCTCATTGTTGTCATACAATGGCGTATGAAAGGGGACGGCACATTGGTTATTATTGAACATCTGCTTCTCAGCAAGGAAAATCTTTTTTACATTTGAAATCACGCAGGACAAGACTTCGGATTAGCAAAACGTTGAATAGACATCATTTTTAGTACCAGTGTTTTGTTTCTATTTCAAGGTCAATTCAAGCTCTATTTACATAGGTGTTCCGTATGAATCCGCGTCGCGTTTAACTAAATAGCAAGACGATCGATTAAACGCTAGCATAGCGTCGACTGCTACAGGTAAAAATAAAACAATGGGCAGCAGGCCAGTTTCATATTTATTTTTAAGTGTTATTCTAATAACACAAAATGTGCACGAAACCAAAGCAGGGTATAACCACAACGTGGCATTCAAACCTGAATGTGAGCGCAGAGGTGATTATATCCCCAGCAAGTGCGTCTATAACTGGACCATAGACTACCGTATGACAGGGGTGTGGTACAACACGAGAAGGAACTCGGGAAAACCCGTCTTTAAGTATGATAATCCTGACCAGTATTACTACGGGGAACAGTCAAACTGCACACGTCTGCCGATGTCCGAGTCCGGTGAGTATAGCCCACGGTTATATTACCTGGAGAGAGCATAAACTCCACTAGGCAATAACGCCTTTTTATACTCTTTTTATATAATATAACCCAAGCACTTAAAGGTATAAGGTACGCATACAAAATCCCATTGATTAATTAATTATTTAAATAAGTAATAAATTAATTAACTAACAACTAAAATACAGAGCAGCTCATGTTGTTTACTTTCTCTCTCCAGACCTTGACGATGTCATCATGACGGACGGAGGTTACCGTAGAGTCATCACCATTAACGGGCAGTTTCCAGGGGAGACAATAGTGGCTTACAACGGAACGCAGGTATAGAACAATTAACATGTCATGTGAGAATGACAACGTTCTATCTCCATTATTGTTTTTTTTAACCCGGAGAACATCGAAAGAAAGCTAAATACAGTGATGGTATTTCCTCAAATTATTTTGTGTCAATTTTCTCTTGTTTATTTATAGGGCTATGCCTTTACGTTGACATTTAACACATAAAGACATTTGCAAATACTTTTTCTTTTCAGTTGATAATCAGTGTAACCAACAATCTAGAAGAAGAGGGTGTGTCCATCCATTGGCATGGCATCGTGCAGAGAAATACTCCATACATGGACGGCGTGGCTCGCATATCACACTGCCCAATCAACCCCGGGGAGACATTCGTGTATAGGTAAGGTTATCCGTCACTAGCCAATCACATTTGTCGATATATTATTTTGTTTGGCGTATATATCAGTCCCCAATCTTCCGCCTGGAATTTTATCTGTATGCCATAAAAATCCTACAGTATTGCCTTTTGGAGAGTCGCCATATTTAATCCGCGGATCTGTTAGTCCACTGTTCTGAATGCGCTCTAAATGTGTGTGTGTGTGTGTGTGTGTGTGTGAGAGAGAGAGAGAGCGCGCATTTATTGAGATGACATCTAATATCACACACTATAACATTGTAATTTGACAATAATAATAATAATAATAATAATAATAATAATTAGAATTAAGAAAATATTATTTTTTTGCTAATCAAACACCTTCAATTACTAGGTTCATAGCCTATCCCCCCGGGACCCATTGGTACCACGCCCACCTGGGGAGTCTACGATCTGACGGTCTGCATGGGGCACTGGTCGTCATAGACCCCGCAGAGGAGAGAACCAAGGTGATGTGTAATAATAATAATAATAATAATAATAATAATAAAGGTGATGATGATGATGACTAAGTTTTTATTATTATCATTATTATTATTAAAACCCTTATAAGGTAATTGGTTTAACAACGAGGTTGAAGATATACCCTTATACATTTAGTGCAAATAAAGCTGCATATTGAAGACAATGTATCTATCTTTTTGTAAATATTGTATATGTGAAAGTGAAACTTGAAGGAATGAATACAAACTTGTCACCTATATTTTAAAGGTAATGTTCGAAGTTCTGTTGTCAGTATGGGCGAAACAAATATATTATTGATGTTATTTCTATAAGGCCTTTCTATAAGGCCTTAAAGAAAATGTATTATTGATGTCATTTCTATTAAGGCTTTCGATTGCGAGGAGTGGATTTTGTTTGTTACATACGAGACCTTTGTTAAACTACTTGTTTTACCATCGATTTTGTTTTTTTTCGATCAGTTCATCATATGATGGCGTGCATTATGGCTCCATGACTATTTGTGTGGAGAAATGACGTGCTTTAGTACTTCAACGTTTTTAGGCTTGAGATTCATTTATAAGAATACTTCGTGGCTGAATTAATAAGTTGTTTGGTTTTAATCCCTATCAACCGATAAAACTATTGATTTTTTATACACTTTGTTAATATATGGATTGTAGCACGCAGTAAATTATTGAAGGTCTTGGGTTTGTTGTTCAGTTAACTATTCATTCACAATCGTTCCTTTTTAACCCGTTGACACAGGCTAAATAGCATCTTGCTTTAATAATTTTTCATGGCATTAAACGAGACAACTTCCTATGTTCTCCAATTAAGTTACTTTATTTAAAGCTGTTACTCATATAGCCAATAAGGTGATGTGTTTTTCCGCTTTGGAGTGAATCCCCCGGATTTCTTACTGTTTTAGAAAATATCACCAGCCCAGTTCTATTTTTTAGTCAGTATGGGAAATCGTATTAGTGGTAAATGGCACAGACTGTGTTATTTGTCTTCTCTATTTCTGTCACATTAATTTACTCTAGAGTGGTCACCATTCCAGCTGGTCACTATAGCCTGTAACAGTGTGATTGCATGTTTCAAGCTATTTAGACCTATAACCCGTGACTAAATTTGTGAACGTTTCTTCCAAGGGATTTCGACATTTCAGGATTTCCACGTCCCTTAATTTTTTAATTTAATTATTATCACTCTGTTGATTATGCTTTATTGTGACGCAAGTACAGACGCTTTAAAGTGGTAAATCCTGACCCCAGTTTCACAAAAAAGCAGGTTCCAGGGCTTAGACTTAATTAGCCAGGTTACATGGTCACATGGACACATCTTACCCTATCAGAAACAGTGTTACAGCACTCTCATGGAAATCCTGGTAAACTAAGCCAGGGAACTGACTTAAGTACTTTTTGTAACAGCTAACTGGTTTGATTTTCCAGGCGAAGAAAGATACCGACGTCACCATGATACTGACTGACTGGTTTTCACAGGACACCTCCACGATAGCTTCCAATGTTATTTGGGAACTAGAGCGCTTTGCGCCTTTTATGCAAACCTCACCCTCCATCCAAGGCAGTTTTAGGGAAGGGACGTGTTTTTATCAAACCAAACAACACGATGGGATGGACATAGGTGTGTGGCCAGTTCAGTCCATTCTGGTCAATGGGAAAGGTACGGTCACTGACAATGACCTTGTAATAATAGTACGGTAGTACAAGTAGTAGCCGTTGTTGTATTAATAAGCCCCCTTTACACTGGACGGCGTCCTTTCTCCGTCCAGCAGTACGGCCCCATTTGAGAGTTAAAGAATTATAATACTTTACGTGCCGACACCTGGACGATCATTGAGCAGTCATTCTGATACAAAATCAATGCTCGTGCCTCCTTATTAAGACAACAGCGATGCCAAATTTCATGGTCGCAGAAAGGACGCAGAAAGGACGCCGTCCAGTGTAACGGGGGTATTGCCGAAGAGGATCCAGAATTACTTGCTAAATCGACCCCCTTGGCGTGGGTTTCGGGGCCCGCTGAAATTTTGGTATTTTAGAGAGCGAACGGTGCCATTTGGTACGGTTTAGAACTATGGTTCAGCTAGTCAAAATTCTAATTTCAGGAGGAGACCATTGGTGTGTTTTTTTTTTTCAGACATCGAGGGGGGAGGCAGGACCCCCTTAAACCCCCTAAATCCACCACTGGTACGAGTAGAAGTAGTAGTAGTGGTAGTCTCTGACCTTGCTAGAAGTCTCTTGCAAAATTATTTTATATCATACTCTACCAGCCCAAAGGAGCACTACCCAATTAAACCACTGCATATTACACAATACAGTGGTGCAACAGATATGGTAGTCAGTTAATTGGTAGCAATACACGTGACTACACACTTCTCCAGTCAGATATTTTACATGATATCTGATTTTTTTTTAATAATACATTTTTTACCTAAGTATACCTGTATTATTGCAGGCACCGTATGTAACGCAACCCATGGAACTTCCAGATATAATTGTAATGAGAGACTGGAGGAGTTCATAGTACCCAGGCATAAGAAAATCCGAATTCGGATCATCAACGCAGCCACCCAGTATGCACTTAAAGTATCAATTGACAGCGTAAGCCTTGACATTCTTTTCAAGTATATATACAACTATACTGGTGATTTACTTTAAGTTATCATTTATTTTAGTTATTTCAACTCGATATTTTGTCTCACGTTTTTAAAAAAAGATATTTTGTAAGTGCATGTCTTGTGCACACTTGAAGTGATTGATTTAATAATTGAATAGATAAATAAATAACTATCAAAGTGTATTGAATAATGAATAAATAAATAAATTGATAAATTAGTTAATCAATGCCCCACATAATGAATCTTCTGTAAAACAAAATTTTTCTGTAAGCAAACAAAGAGCGATATATTACGATGTACTGTACATAAGTTTTTTCTGAATCCTGAATCCCGAAATAAACATAATTATATTTTTGCAATATACACCATGTAGCTCACCTTTCACATGGTTTTAAATAAAACAAAACAAAAAAGAAAACAGAAAAAAAGAAAAGAAAAGAACAAAAATCGTGCACTCCCGGCCTACGCTGAAATCATGAAAATGTCGTTTTCTGTGAAAAACAGCAAAAGTTTTTTTTTTCGTTATCTTCTTGCAGCACTCCATGACGGTGGAATCCATGGACGGCAACGCTATCCAGGGAACGGAAGTATTAGACTACCTCATCATTCACACCGGTGAGAGATATGACATAGAGGTCGCCACTGATCAGTACAGGCAGACTCCAATGCAGCCCGTAAATGATGGATATTTCTGGATACGAGTGGAATCTTTGGAGGAATTTGACCAGCCAAATCAGAATGTAATGTGTTCAGTGGTTTTATTTATTTATTTATTTAATAGCGGACAAGATATCCGAAATATTTGTCATAAATTTTGACGAAATTAAAATTTGGCCATTTATTCACCTTCAACACTTTGGAAGAGAATGCGGAATTTATATCTCAGATTTTGTGTTTATTTCTTTGCAGTTACGAAATATAATTACTCCTAAAACCGGCTGGGCGGTATTAAAGTATGAAGGAAGTCCACCCAGACGTAAACCATTTACAACGCCCAAGCAATGCCCACTTTCTAATCCATGTGAGATCCTGAACTGCCCTTTCCGGTAAGGAAAATATAAACTTGATTTTACTGCACACACACACACACACACACACACACACACACACACACCGGTATTACCAACAATTCTGGGTAATGCTCGACGACGGCTACCTCCCCCCCTTTTCCAAAAATGTTTAGTTTTGAAATACATTATATCGCGCCACTTGATTGATTTAAGATCTTCACAGGCTAAAGCGTTCGTTAATAAATAGGTAGATGATATCATAGTTCACCACTGTCCATATATATATATATGTGTGTGTGTGTGTGGGGGGGGGGGGGGGTAGCCGTCGTCGAGCATTACCCAGAATTGTTGGTAATACCCCCCTTTGCACTGGATTGCGTCCTTTCTGCGTCCTTTGTGCGTCCATGAAAATGGCATGGATGTGGTCGTAGAAAGGAGGCACAAACATCGCTTTGATTGCAGAAATAATGCTCAATGATCTACCAGTTGTCGGCACGTAAAGTATTACATTTTTTTTTTATTTTTGCTCTCAAAACTGGGCCATACTACGACTCAGAAAGGACGACGTCCAGTGTAGAGGAGGCTTAAGCAAATGTTATATGTTTATATAGGGAATACAGGCCCAAGGGAAGCAATTATTACACCTGTATACCAATAAGTAGGACCCGCGCTCTTGGCAGCCTTATAGACCGAAACCCAGTGCCTATGCCCACCTCCGCCGACAACTTTCAGCAGATATTCCTCAACTTTCATTTCTCGGGTAAGTTGCTTCTATAAAATGTTTATGAATAAACAATTTCATTTGACCGCTTCGAAAGAGAAAATTTTGTTCGATTCCAACCATTAAATGGGTCAAAATCCGTTCTGTTAGCGGCCCAAGACGGGTGTGACAGGATATTTATCATAACAGGGGATTTATAATTACTACCTCTACTTCTTAGGTTGTCTCATCTTCACTTAGTACAAGAACTGTTACATAAATGGAATAAATATAACTGTACATAATTTACAAAGAAATCATTCGCTACATATCCTGATGTGACAATGTCAGTAGTAAATAAAAATATACTGATACGGGCATTCAATTATTTATATATTGCTAACACCCAGGTCATATCCTTCAACATTATGACTTCAGGTTCCAAGGCACTGCGATCATCTATTAACGGTCACTTGTTTCGCTTTCCCAGGTTACCCCCACAGGTACAGTACGGTTGTTATGCGTTTATCTTGACTTTTTGAGAACCTGTAAAGAATAGCATAGCATAGCATAGCATAGCATAGCATAGTATAGCATAGCATAGCACAACGTAGCATAGCATAGCATAGAATAGAATAGAGAAACAATAGATAAGGATTGGCTCATAGCATTAATGGTAAAAATTCACAGATGAATATATGGCCTTGAAAAATAATGCATGTAAGGCATTGCATAAGGAGTATGATGCAAATGCTCAGTGTATCCTTCAGGCTTTAATGACGCAGTCAATCCAGTCCACACCACATGAAGTATATAATGTCATATTAATGTCATATACCCAACCGTTAATTGTTTGAAATGTTTTTTTTTCTAGTTGTACCCGGAGCGCGACACAAATTACGAGTGCGACGAGCCTTGCACCGGGGATTGCTACTGTTCGTACACGGAGAAACTGAAGTTAAATAACGTCATCCAGCTAGTCCTGATTAATATGGGCATAGGTAGGATATTTTGTTTTTTCATTTAATGGAAAAATAAATCAGCAGATCAGTAAAATAACTGGACGGTTGATGTGGACTGGTACCCTGATTATGTCGTAAATAAACAAAATGCCCTTACAGTTTATAATATGACTCTACCTCGGCAATCTTGAAGTTCAGTCATCTACGCTGACCACGTCCCCTTACGTAGAGTTTTACAGCGGGGAAAAAGCAAACGATACGTCAATAAATATACGCTTTGGTTACTTAGTTTTCACCATAATTTTGTTAATTTTTGTTATGATAAAGTTCTGATATGGCGTTTCTCGCTCATGCGACTGCCTTAAATCTTAGCTAATTAAATACTTTGGTGATCAAGGTCAACCGGGAATGGCGCATCCGGTACACGTACACGGCCACCATTTCCACGTGCTCAAGATAGGCTACCCCCAATACGACGCCAACTTCCGGTATCTGTCCGACACCGACGATGTAGTATGTGACGACCCATTCTGCAGCAGCGCTCGGTGGAACGACTCCACCTGGGATGACTATCGGGCGTGGAACGGTAGTTTGAGGGTCATCAGGCCGATTTCTGACATAAATAACACCGAGAATGAGACAGCTGAACCGTGGATTCCGGAAGTGAATGCTGTCGACCCCCCGTTGAAGGACACCGTGATTGTGCCAGTTGGTGGTTACGTGGTGATTCGCTTCAAAGCTGATAACCCAGGTAAATTTAATTTACTTTTTTTTTATTTTGGTCGAGGTGACTTCGTGGCCAGGTTTTATCCAAAGCTGGGATATATTCTGAACTTGAGATAGTGATCGACCCCGTAAGCCGAAGGCGGAAGTAAATGATCCCAATTGAGAGTTGAACCTATCCAAGAGGTGACCGAAACACAAAGTCTATATAACTGCTTTGTAGAACGATCGCAAGATTTAAAGCTAATTGAAAAAATTAAGATACAGGACTTCTTCACTGACATATCTAGCTCGTGTAGTGTCGATGGAGATCCAACAATAGACATAAATTAAGGCATGAGCTCGATGTAACAGTTTCCTTTCTGCGTGAATTAGCAAACTGTAAAATATGTATCACATCAGTTTTTTTTATTAAATTCATAATACATGTTATAAATGGCATTATCGCCGACGACTATTTAGCACAGTTCACTTGAAGACAAGAACTCAGTGTAACGGTTGTCTTTCTACTACAATTAACAAACTGTAAAAATGCATCACATCAAATTGTATTACATTTTATAATAATAAACATTTATTAAAATATAATGATTAATAGCTTAATATTTTGTTTCATTATATAATCGTTTTCTCGACTTTCGACTTTTTAAAAATCGACAAAAAGTATTTAAAAATCAATGAAAAAGCATATTATAAATATAATATGTACAATTACGGTACACTTTCAGTACTACTTAAAGTAGCGTAAACGTTATCTGATGGCCACATCGTCCTTTCAATATTTCTTTCATCATCTAATATCATTATCTCTTTGTTTGTTTTCTCGACTTTTTTGCCAGGTTGGTGGTTTGTCCACTGCCATTTAGAGTTCCATTACCTAGAAGGCATGGCCATGGTGCTGCAGGAAGGTGAACCATCAGAAATGCCCCCAGTACCCAGCATAATTCCAAAGTGTGAGGATTTTGAAATGAGCGACAAAGAGTTTGAAGATGTCCTGAAATGGAAACCCAAAGTGACAATTGTAGGGTCGTCCAAGGATAAAAAAGCGTCCGGCGCAGCACTGCCTCATTTGCATTATTTTCTCCCTCCACTGATGTTTGCCGTATATGTCGCCTACAGTTGGTAGCTTAAAAGCAATGAATGTACGTGTATCTGGCGGCCCTGTTGGTCTTTCATTATTTTTGCCGTCGGTTATTATCTAGACATTTCTCTTTGTTTATGGGACGTGACCAGCTGAACCTAATTACTTAACTCTATTGTACCATACAGCACTGTATTATCTACAATGGTACTTAATTGTGTTTTACTGTAAATTTGATATGTGAGTGAAATCATGTTATAAGGAAGTGTTCAGTAGTATTTATACAGTGGTATGTATTTCATTATTAATTTTGTCTGTGGTTCATTTTGTATTTGTTTTTGAACTGGTTATATATACTGCGTTTTTTTTTTGTTTGTTTGTTTTTTTTTTAGAAATTAAAATGATGCTTATGTGTACATAAACTGCATATAAATTGCATCAATCTGAAAACTGGTCCCCGTTTCACAAAAATAAATAAATAAATAAATAAATAAATAAATGAAAAATAAATAATATTAAATAAATAAATAAATAAATAAACTTAAGTCGGGTTCCCTGACTAAGAGCTTGGTTACCAACGTAATTAAGTAGCCTTTACATCATTCAAGATTCATGCCATTTTGTGATTGAGCACGGTTATGTATACAGTGTGTTGGGTACCAAAATATGTCAAAGAACGTGTGTGTGTGTGTGCGTGTGTCTATGTGTGTATGTGTGTGTGTGTCTATGTGTGTGCGTGTGTCTATGTGTGTATGTGTGTGTGTGTCTATGTGTGTATGTGTGTGTGTCTATGTGTGTGGGTCTATGTGTGTATGTCTATGTGTGTGTGTGCGTGTGTCTATGTGTGTGTCTATGTGTGTATGTGTGTGTGTCTATGTGTGTATGTGTGTGTGTGCGTGTGTCTATGTGTGTATGTGTGTGTGTCTATGTGTGTGTGTGTATGTGTATGCATGTGTAACATGTGTGTGTGTCTATGTGTGTCTATGTGTGTGTGCGTGTGTGTGTGTGCGTGTGTGTGTCTATGTGTGTGTGTCTGTGTGTGTATGTGTGTGTGTGTGTGTCTGTGTGTGTGTGTTAGTGTGTGTGTCTATGTGTCTGTGTGTGTGTGTATGTGTGTGTGTCTGTGTGTACATGTGTGTGTGTCTATGTGTGTCTATGTGTGTGTGCGTGTGTGTGTGTGCGTGTGTGTGTCTATGTGTGTGTGTCTATGTGTGTGTCTATGTGTGTGTGTGTGTCTATGTGTGTATGTGTGTGTGTGTTAGTGTGTGTGTCTATGTGTGTGCGTGTGTCTATGTGTGTGTGTGTCTATGTGGGTATGTGTGTGTGTGTGTGTGCATGCTGCAAGAACAGCATGTCGTGCAGTTACTCAGTTACCATGCTTCTCACATTCCACTGACATTAGGCATGTTTTGAGTCGGTGTGCATCATAGTTTACTTACGAACAGAACACAATCGTGATCCATCATTAACACATAAAGATACATGAATTTAACTACAACATGTGAGCATGACCAACAGCAGGCCGGTTGAACTCCCAAGAGGAAGACACGCTGAATACTTGGCTAATTCTGGTATTTTATCTCTTTTACACACTTACTTTACACATGTGTGTGTGTGTGTGTATAACACAGGAAATAATGTGTGAACAGAGTAACTACATATTTTGGCTTTCTTAGTCCAAAATGTGCCCATAACACAGCGTGATGCTGCAAATCGTACTACATTTGGTAAGCCACCCTATGCACATTTAAAACGGGGGAATAAGCAAGCTCACCAAGCTCAAAAACTCAGCGCCTGAGCTATTCCAGGGGCACTTTTTGGAAGAAGTAAGATGTGACATTTAATTAGGCTACTCGGTTCTCATATTTTTAAATGTACTGAGTGTGAAACATACGAAATGACAGACTTATCAACGCACTCAGGGAGTTCAACAATTTTGAATAAGGCCCTCCCTTGCACAGATAAGTAACTGTAGCAAAGAGGTTGGGTGTAGTGCTAATGGTTTTTATTTACGTAGCTAGTGTCTATAAATAAAGTAACCCGTGTGCATCCAGAAGTTATGAGAATCACTCATTACTGTTTTCACCGGGCGACATGACACAAGCAACATGTTGGAAACTCTCACGTGCCCTCTTGGGTATCTTAGAGGCTGTCGTCTACACCTTCACGTTATTCGGGTGGCCTGCTTTCGTCTACATATTCATCGAGGAACGATTTTACGATGATCGCTGTTCTTTTGATTCAACTGCCAATGGCTCCGATTGCAAAGGTCTTGGAAACTGCACCTTAGAAACACCAGGCAAGGACCGTGTTCAAAAGTGCGCGGAGCAAGAAGAGATGCTGAACCTAGTTTACACGGCGGCTATGGTCGGCTTGGTGTCCACTCCCGTTCTTGGATATGTCTATGACCACTGCGGGCTAGTTTGCGTGAGGATCCTTTCTATGTAAGTAATACATATAATGTCATTATGTATAGCAATGTATTTTTGGTGGCCGTTATGGTACATCGACAATGACAGCTTCGTCTTCTTTGTGCTCTTTCCCCATCTCCCTCTCTCTCTCTTTCTCTCTCTCTTACCACACACAAACTAAAACGTACTCGTACTTAAGGGTCCCATCTAGCTGCTTGCCCAGTTTGAACAAGGTTGTGTTCCGATGTTTGGTCAAATACCCTACGACCGATTTTGTGCCAGCTCGAAGGGTGCCATGCGTAAACACATAACTAAATGTTTTAACATAACATTTTAAATATCATAAACATATTATAGTGGTGTTCTAAAATAGCTTAGTCATTTACAATTTATTGATATTATAAATGCATTTAACATTTGCTAGCTTTATACATACTTTGTTTAAATACCGAAACATTTCACTGAAGCTAAGATCTAATATACCGTTTATTAGATCTTAGTTTACCCCAATCTAAATTATTTTCCGTATGGTATTAGCAGTAGTTGGGTGAAAAAACGGCTTTGGATTTGGGACAGTTTGTTAAAAAATAAAGCTAAGTAAGAAACAAACGGAAAATAATAGATAACGAATTGACAAAAAGTGTGCTTAACCTGAAAGATGAAATTTGACATTTTCAGACAATTTCAGTAAAATATATTTTGTGTCAAGAGTAGCAGAAATAAATAAATAAATAAATAAATAAATAAATAAATAAATAAATAAAGATAATTTCTATGTTATTTCAAACAAAAACTGTATATTATATTACGAGAGGTTTTCTTCATAGTCTTATTAGGTCCAAGCGTGGAGTAACCGCTAAAACTGCGGTGATGAACTTTATTTGACCCGATGTCGGTTGAAGGCCCACCAAGCGTCGCATTGTGTTAGAGAGGCCTGAAGCACAATGACACGATGGGGGAGTTGGTCCGCGATTTTTTGGGGTTGGTTCTCCTTTGCATTGCACACTCCAATTCATGTTACAGTTGATTAGTAAGTTTAATATCAGGGCTCAACATATCGTGTTTTATATAAGAGTAATCCATAATAGAGTGTTGAAATCAATAAATCAAGTTTTATCCTCGCAATTCACTCTAAAATACCATACGACAGCAATATGAATTCTACTGGTAAGAATAGTTTATCAAATACATGTTCACAAATTAGAATTATGTTTAGGGATAAAATATACATGTACCTCTAGGGATCAGTAGGTTTATGTCTGGCCATAGCTGTATTTTACTCTGGTCTAATAAAAGTGTAGGTATTTATATGTACAAGTAAACTTTGGTTTAACGGGACTATAGGGGAGGAACGTAAAAAACTACCGTTTTGTTGACAAAGCTGCAAGTAAGATTATTAAAGGACAGATGTCCCAGGCTAAAAACTTGGCAAGCGAAAATAGAGAGCGCATTACATAGAAAAGCTGCTTTTCTAACAGTACTAGCAGTTTTTGATGGAGGTGTTTACGCTGATGTCAGGAATTTGATTTGTCTGTAAATAAGAAATTTGTGGCTGTTCAAACAGCTGTTGTGTAAATATTATCGAATTGTTGCAGTAGTGTGACTTCATAATGGTCGAAGAGTGTTTATCTTTCAGGTAGACTTTTTCACGTGAATTGCGTCGCTTTTTATCAGCAAATACATCTGCGCTTTTGTCATGCATAGAGCATAGAGTGTTTTGTCGTCCTACGGGATCTTATTTTTGAAACCCATATTTACACGACTGGCATTTCTTAATACTTTTACTTTCAGAGCAAACACTCTAATGAAAATTGTGGGCAAACATGCTAAAAGTGCTTCACATACAATGTAGGACATGTCACACTATTGCCACACTTCGCCCAAAACTTCTTATTTACTGCTTTACATACACTCTTTTGGGTAATTAATAAATCCTCAGTGATCAGTGACTAAATTAATTAACATATACACATATAAAATCTTGTTCAGGCTTGAAGTTACCCCTCAAATAGAAAGGTGTTAAATTAACGATTAAAGTTCTGAGACGCCGATGCTTATACATTACAACGAATAATATAAACACCGATATTTTATATTTTCAAGTTTTTTTCATTGTTTTAAATCAGCACAAAGATATATGCATTATTGAAGAGATAGATGTCAGAAAAAATTATTTTCGATATTTGGACGACAATAAACGGTTACAATATCCTTAAACAGACGCTTTACTTCCCAACCTCACACGAGAAGAGAAAAAACATATAGAAAACAAAATAGATTGATTTACTATTGTGAAAAACGTTTTTTATTTCTTAACCGCTATACACCAAGAGGTAGGGTCCAAAGATGCCCGATAAGGGGCCTACGTTGATTGTTTGGAGAGTAAATCATCCAGTGCAGAATGTCGGCTAGAAGAGAACAAAGTGTGATATTCAGTTCACATCATGCAGCTATATTCTTAGAGTGGATGCAGTCCTTGAAACTCACGGCAGAACTAATATTATATAAAATACCCAAACATTAAAAAAAAATCCTTGAGGGCGGGGAGTGAAGGCTTCCACTTTTTTGAAGCTCAGTGTCCATTGTTGTTAGTGGAAAATGTATTAGTAATTTTAGCTCGTCCTTTAAATTTCGTATTGCACACATATTTGGCCGTTTTTCTAATGGAGTGTTGATTTAAGGCATGTGACATTCAGTCAATTCAACGACATGAAGGCAACGTCAATACAACTCTCTCCTTCTTTGTTTGAGAGATATTTCGTCACATTTTCCGTGTATTCTTTCTGTCTCCAGCGAAGAGGTCCACCGAGAGAATTTTCAATTTCCAAACACATCGTCTTCAGTTTAACAAGGGTCTCTTCCTGGCGCAAAAAGGCCTCGTTTAACTTTGATCTCAGGACGAGGATGGACTTTTCAGCCCTCTGATGACTCACATCTGACGCGTCACAAGGTGCGGGCGCTGTTTCCTTTGTCGCGAGAATGTCTTTGTCTTCAGTCTGTGTTTTAGCGCTCTCCATTCTTGTCTCACTACGGAAGATGAATAATATAATGTTGAAATGTAGAATAAAGATGCGATTTGATATTCTTTGTTTAAATATCGAATATTGAATCATATTTATTTTATTCAGATTTCACAAAAATCCCTGTGAGACATTCAACAGTGGTAAAACAGTTAATGGTCAAGGGCGTGACCATACTGAAATTGACAACTGAGAAAACACGCTTAACATGCTAAATATCAACAACAAGTATAATTTGTATTAAATCAGAAAATGTTACTTCCATCAGACATTTATGATACTGTAAGTAATATTATTACATTTATGACAAAAATACAAAGAATTCTCTAGCGCACATTTATTTAGGACAAAGACACCTGTGTATGCTTATAATCACAGAAAAAATCCAGACATTTTATCATAGTTTGTTCTTGAATACACTATACCGATCCTACACATTCCATTAAAATATTTATATGTAAATGATGCATTTTTAATTCTCACCTCTTGATTGTGCTAGCTTATGAATTCAATGACTTGCTTTCCTATAGAGTTAATTAAACATGTCTGAAAAAAGATATACGTTGAAGAATAAAGAGGAGTCTACTATAATTAAATTTGCGAGTCTGTGACATGAGCACATTTACAGTATAAACGTCTCCTCACGTGGGAGTTACGTAATACTCATGTGCACAACCACATGTTAGAACCTTAACTAAACTTACAAACTAACTTAACTTGTCACATTAGATATACAACCTTAAATTAACTTACAGACTATAAACTTGATATTTAATCAATTAAACTTATACTTACACGATGTTGTGAATTCTAAGACGCGTGCTAGAGCTACCCTCTTGGTTCTTTCTCTCCTTGCCTCTTTGTCCCTTTTTTTTCTTTTCGCGTCTCCCAATGTGAAGAGTTATTGGCGTGAATGATTGTGTTAGATAAGATTCAGCGAATTCTAGCTGCAACACCGAATTTTGAGGATATGTACCTATTTCGTTCTCGTGTGAAATTGTATCAGAATTAATCACAAGTATGTTATGTCCCTTTCGCTACAAGGGTGGATATAAGTGAGCGAGCTGTTCCAATACGAAACCCCAGGCTGGAACTAAGAACGTTATCATTTTTCATTATAATTAACCGGTAGTAACGACACACGTATTTGCCATGTGTGAATCAGAAAATTCTTAGAACCATGAACAAGAGTAATTAGAATAATAATAATAATGTTAACAACAATAATAATATTGTACATCCATCCGAAGGTGCTTCAAACACTTACACCATCATTCGTACGAAGCATAAATGAAAAAGATTACATTTGGATAAAAAAATTCTCATAGAAATAGAAATATATATAACTGACTAATTCTCGTTCCCCATTATCTTCAAATGCAGCAGAAATGTGATAGTTCCAAGTTATAATGCATAAAATGGCCCCCAAAGAAAAGTTTTGTAGAAAATTGCCAGGTTCTATGGTGTGACTTCAGGTTGTGACCTCACTGTCTGGGTTTAATGTGTCCAATCTATTTTTCCCGCTAGCCTTTGTTAAACTGTGCCTCCAATGTCAATATTTTACACACCTTTCTTTAAAAAATGTGGATTTTGTGTCTGCAAACACTATTTGTATTAAACTAAAATGTAGATAAAGTAGACACGTATTTAGCGTGACATGAGAAAGAAGCTGTTGAATTTTTTTACAACACGTTTTATCCATTACAATCTATTACAATTGAATGTTTGTACTGATTAATCATCAAGTTGGATCTCTCATAAGCCTTTTGTGAGTGACTTATCTGATGTTTGTGCAGTTTGTAATCAAATATCAACAGAGATTTTAATGGCCATTAACGTCCCTTTCAGTTCCTTAAAATAAATATTTGTTTTTTTTTTCACACCCACAGAGTGACAGGAAGCAAAATATGACACTGTCCAAACACAATACGTGCCAACTTCTGATTGTGCACTAAAATCTCTCAATAACCCAGTAATGGTAGTGATCGAGTATATCTACATGTCAACCAGATCTTTCCCAGACTTTTTGGACATTTTCTTATGCGATACAGATAACTTAAGGGATGTAGGTTAACAGTCCAGTCGTCAATACTATGGTTCCTGTATGGCCCAGAAAAAATTATCTTGATTGTCACCATAGAGCCCTTTGTTAAGTTTTAATGTCCAACATGGCCGCCAATCCCAAAACAATTACGTCCTGCACATGTCTGGTAACGATAGAGACATACATGTAGTTTGAACAGTTTGCTGGTTAAATCTCTTCACTTAACCATACAAGAGAAGCTAGTTGCCAACATTAACATAATACTAAAAGAAGGGGGGTCAGTGAACAACAAAAACATGTCTGTTACCCCACAGCAGAAATAACACCTAGAACACACATCACATCTTATACCGATAGTGGATTACACAGGTTCCGTAACTTACAACCTTTCAAGAAATTTAGCAGCTATGCTAGCTCCATTGATAGTGAATACATACTATCATGTTCAAAATCCAAAACATTTAGTCAAGATATTGAAGGAATTAAGGATAGAGCAAGATAAAACATTGGTATCATTTGATGTGACCTCAATAATCACCAACACTCCATTCGACCAAGCGGATAACATCACCAGAAGGAGACTACTGGAGGACAAGAAGCTGAAACAGATAACCTTACAGTGTATTGACGAAATTATGGAAATGCTGGGATTTGTTGTAGCTAAAACATATTTCAGTTTCAGATGAACAATATACCACCAAATATTTGGCACAGAAATGGGCAGTCCGGTGTCCCCTCTGATCGTTATCAATTTTAAAGAGGACTCAGAACAAACAGCTATAAAAACAGCCTCCTTTGGTGCAAGCCACGTCTGGGGCTCGGATATGTGGATGGCATCCTGGCAATAATACCAACGGGTACCACAGCAGCGGTGAACCAACAAATGAATAGCATTAATCTCTCCAACATCATGAAATTCACCAACGAAGAAATGATCGAAATGAGAGCATAAGGAGGAAAGATAAAATAAGAAAGACAGAAAAACGAAAAAATCCAAAGGACAATTTACAATCCCATACGTGAAATGAATATCAGAGAAAATCATGAACGCAACGAGGAAGGAAAATATCTGAGTGTCATTAAAACCACAGGCAAAACTCAGAAACTTTCTTGTACACTTAAAAGACAAAATAGAAGACAACAATAAGTGTGAAATAGTATTTGAGATTGGGTGTGGGTGCTGTGGCAGAGTATATGTTGGAGAGACGGGAAGAAAACTGGATACAAGACCAGAGGAGCACAAGAAAGATGTAAAAGAAAATGTGAGCAAGAGAGTCAGGACCAGATTCAAACGCCCTATGTCGACAGAAGTTTTACACAAATCCGCCATCGCAGATCATTTGTCAGAAAACAACCATGTACCAAAATGGGGCAAAGTAAATGTGCTAACCAGCGATGTAATTACAACAAAAACAAATTTTTGGAATCCATCTGTATTAGAAGAAAGAAACACAGCAGGAACAGAGATGAAGGAGCACACAAACTCTCCCATGTGTATGATAGCATTCTCAAACCAACCCTGGAGGGGGGAGGGGACGAGAGGGATTAATAAGTTATCATCAAGTTATCATCAAGACTGAGGTAATAACCTGTTCACCTTTACCGGAACAGGTGATTTAATTGTGACCAAGTCTGGCAGACTGAACAGAAACAATCAACGGGTAAATCAATCATCATAAATGAAAAGTTTCAGACTTTTTCAAATTCTTTTATGTAGCACAATACTTACAAAAATACAAAATGTAAAATAATTCAAAAGATATCATGATATAAAAGTAATTTTTAAAATCCTTGATTTCTTGTTGACAGGAAACAAAATAGTTTAAAACCTAATGCTTAATTTTCCTTTAAAATCTATTGCTTAGATTGACATATTGCTTTGTGTGACATATATACATGCTCGTTGTCATATATGGGATGCACATTCTTTTTACTAAAAATGTATACAACACTATTTGCATTTAAGATGAAGTTTAATTTACAAATTTCCAGCATAGACCCCTCTTAAAACTATTATAGTCATATGATGTGTAATATAATATACAATACCGTAGAATAATATAATAACACAGCCAAGTCGATGTTACAAAAAAGCAGAGTTACATGTATATTATTGCATGCAAATATCTTTTCTTACTCTTATTGGGTAGTTGCAATTGAAGTAACATTCACGAATGCACATGAGCGAGGTTCACCAATGGTTAAAGTACATGATGTTACTGTGCATTATATTCAGCCCGACCATGTCACTTATTGACACTTGAGCGATATTCATTGCGTCCTCTTCATCACAGTGAGCGAAATAATCCTTCACTGTTTGCTTGTACTGTGAACTGTTCCATCGAAGTGACCCACCTAGCGCGTTTTCTATTGTGATGCAAATTCTCTTCAGTGCCACGAGCGTTTCCTCTTGTCTGAGATAGCATTCATTTAATTTGGAGCGAAGAACATTAATGTTTTTTCTCATCTTCTCAGTTGGGGGTGGAACAGATTCCGCTGCATGGTGGTCGGGGTCATTGACAATCAGGGTGTTATCGGCTGACCGGGGACGTTTATTTGTATCAATTCCACACAGTAAAGAAGATTTATGCAACTTGTTTGGTGATGACTTTGGACTTTTTGCTTGGGAGCTAGGAATGGCAACAAAGCTGAAAAAAACATTGTTAAGTATTGATGAATTGGGGCCACGCACACACACACACACAGACACACACACAACAGCAAGATTGAACTCAAGTCAGATTCTTAACTGGCCTAAGTACACACACTGGACAATAGAAGTGAATTGTTCAATCAGAACCGTTTCTTTTGTGAAATTTAATTTTGATAAACCAGGAGCATATCATTCCACAGTCATTTATCTCCCCCAAGGTATTGATTCAGTAGTGGTGACACTTCTATTGTCCAGTGTGTATACTGGAGAATCTGAATCATAAGACCTTTTTAGCGAAAAAAACTTACCTACTGAACCCTACACTTGGGCCAGGCATTTCAGAAACCTCCATGGTCCATTAAATCCAAGAAGGACTTCGAGAGTCTTAAATGCAAGGCGATTTCTGTAAACGAACTATGTCAAGTCAATTCAGCTGGCTGGCTAAATCACAAACGGCTGAAATGCGCCTAATGTATACTATAATCAGCCAATCAACAGGCGCCTTAAATCACATACGTCATAGGGGAGACCGGGGCTAGTTGGCTCAGTTAGACACTTTTGGCCTTGTAGAACCAATTAGGAATGAGATACAGTAACAAAACCGGTTTCAAAGTAAGCCCCATAAACTAAGCTACGTATGCGACAGCATAATTTTTCAAATATAATGCCAGATGGCTCGAAATTTGCAAAAAAAAAAAATAATAAAACGCAGCTGACGTTAAGGGGGGGGGGGCGGGGGCAACTTTGCAATCTGGCCCTAGGGCTGAAGTAAAATGAAGTAAGTATCCCATGTAATCGCCTTGAAATACATCATTATACTTTTTATTTATTAAATTGATTTTTGAGAGTCAGTGCACGTTATACATTTACAAACTGTTGAAGTGTTATTAGGGGAAGTGTCTGACGTTAAAACACGTGCTTTACCAAATACATATACCAGTTTAATATCTAGATTTCTGTAGTTGTGTCTTTAATGCCCCTATTTCACACAGACCACGAATCCCACGAATCGCCATGATTTCACAAATTTCAGGATTTCTGGTTGAATCGTAATAAGTTCCTGAAGTTCTTTTAAGTTCTTTTATTATATGAAGTTATTTTATTATAAATAATAACAGTAGCAGATTCGTATATATTCGTAGTCAGTTCCTGCAATTCTTGACCAACAGGAATTCGTTAATAACAGGAATAGAAAATATGAAATAATCTTGATGAAATTATAAGTTATTTAAAACGGGATAACGTATTTAATAATTTGTAAAATGCACATGAAGGCAATTTAAGAGCATTTTCGTCTATTCATACATCTACTCAAGAAAGCGTTCATGAGGTTAGGGTTAAGTGAGCGACAATGACTAAACTATATGTATGACGCGCTGTAATGAACCGTCAAATTCGACAGAGAACTGATAGATATGCAAGATGGCGTTATAACCGGCCTACGCCTGTATCATTTATTTGGTTGTTTATGTAAAAAAAGTATCAGAAAATGAACCAAATATTGTATCCCTTATTTATTGCCGCTGTGTTACAGATTGTAAACCTGCCGGGGAATTATGCTGCAAGTCATTTATTTTGCTGATGAAAATAAGGATTAAAACCGTGTTTTAATAACTTTTGATAATCTATTTGATGTAATTGTGACATGAGTTCATTAATAACCTTGCGCGC